ACGGAAATTTGAAGAATTTTTGTCATTGAAAATTCATAATTTCATGGAAAAATTTGTGGAAACTGTGAGTTTCAGTTTAATTAATCTCTCGGTGAATTGCGGATTCCTCTGAATTTTCTGGGGATTTCTCAAAACATTTCTAAAGTTCTAAGAATTTTGAAGGAATTCCGTGAAAATTGAAGGGAATTTGGTTATAAATATTCATTTTCACTTTAAATTTATGCAAATTGAGAAATTTTTGGCGACTTGCTGCTGAAAAATTGGGACTTTCCTTAAATTTTCAGAGAAACTTAAAATTCCATTGACTTTTCCCCGAATTCAGGGTCTTTTTCCGCAAAATGAAATTTTTTCTAAAGTGAAGACAAAAATAATCAATTTTGAAATTGTCAAACAACAGGGAGACAAGATTTTCTGAAATGGCTTGAATTGTCAATCGAAACATCAATGTTCAGTAGAAAATTACGCTGAAATCTCAATGGATTCAAAGAAATTTATTAATTTGACAAAACATAAAAAATACAGAATTTTCCTTTTCGAGTTCGAGATTTAAATGAAGTGCAACGAAATCTCTACATAAAAGTAGTTATGTATGTAATTTTTTTAATGATTCACAACATTTTTTATATCCCAATGTGGTTACTTTCACTTCCATTAATTTTTCATTCAACAATTGTACTGAAATTGACAATATCCATTGGTTTTTTCATCAAATGATCAAATTTTCAATGTAAAAAATCCTTGAACTATTTGGAAAATCGACACAAAAGAAATTTCCCCAAAATATATCTGAAATTTCCCCCAAAACTGTTCCCCACTGTATTTCAAACAATTTAGCTCACCCCTACTCCAGAATTTTCACGCTAAATTGATTTCATTGTTGTGCACAAGGAAGGATGAAATAATTATCGAAGAGCGATGTTCCACCAGTGTCTCTCACCAATGACTGTCAAGCCGTACGTCACTCGCCATGATTGAACGAATTGATGGAGCATGCAATATTCGACCATGTTCGGGGTTAAATTCAATACTGCACTTCAATCTCCAGGCGATACTTGCAATATACGTACAGTGACCAAACCCTCGGGCCCCCTCACCAACCCCCAGTATCATCATCGAGCCATTAAAATTAATTGTTCCGAGGAAATCTTGCAACTGTTTGAATTTATTTCGGGCACTCGGCAGCTCCTGCCAGCGTCACTGGGGCCTCTATCACTGCCTGGCTCACGAAAATTGAGGGATTTCCAGTGGGTGGCGTGTGGCTTATTATACTGTCAAATGACTTGCATCTCATTCGTTAAACTTCACGGTAAATTGTGGGCGATGGACGCAACTCGGATTCAAATCCTTTCGCTGTGACACTCCGGTCAAAACGAATTCGCGGGGACTTTACCTTACACTGACAGAAAAAATCAGTTTTGCCAAGATAATTTCATTCCAATCAACCATTACTTTGTTGTTAAATTTCAAATTACATCTACATGTGGTTGAGAGACGTAGAACTTCTCTAAAAATGAAGTTCATTTCATTTGTGGCAGCATGAGAATACACGATTTTTTTCTAACGTAACATTTTGCTTCTGTCAGTGTACCTCAAAAAACAATCAGAAGAGACGAGACAGAATATAGGGCCCGAGGGGGTCTACGTATCAAGCAATTACAAGACAATTACAGACGAAAACAAAGAACTTGTATTGTACTGAGAAAGAAATCAATTCGGAATTTTTCCCCAAGCAAAATCTAAGAATTCTTATACCCCGCGTCGAAAGGTGGATGACCTTGAGGAGACATTTGCTATGGAACTGCTGTCAGAGTCACTAGTTCCTTGATCGAGTGGCTAGTCATCAAAAAGTTTGGACTTTTGTTGTAAACTTATGTCATGTCCGTACAGTACAGCTAGTTCTTAAGTTTTCCCAGTCGCAACAAAGTTAGAAAATACCTCTTCTTAATGTTAGATTGTAACTTACATGAAGAGCGTGCAGATGAAGAAACCAGTCAGCAGTATGGAATGAGGAATACACACTTCGCAAATGCCGATGAACCGGAGAGTAGTGTTCGTGATGATCATAAATATCACCGAATCGATGACAACACTACCTACGAACCCCATATCACACCGGTATCGTTAATAACCAGAGGCTCCTTAACCTTCCACATTCTGATGCGCGTGGAACAAGCTGTGAATCACGCCCGACTGAAACAATATTACTTTCTTGACACCTATTGCTCTAATCGCCAGTGATGTAGCAAAAGACTAGGCACTTTGGTGATCTGTTCTGAAGGCGTGAGCCTTTGATATTGAGGTGATGATGCACAGAGGTGACACCAGAGACGGAATGTATATTACTGATGAAGGGCGAAGTGTGTATCAATATTCAGTCGACTGCTTTCGCTGTGCTACAGGGATTTGGTGGATGAGAACTGGGTGGCTAGGGGCTGTTACGTACCTGTCACTGGGTCAGTCGGTTCAACATGCGAGGGATTTTCAATGGCTTCCCGAGGTATTGTGGCCGATATATGTGAAAAGAGACAATGCTTAAATGGAATAGCCTCTTGGATTTGAGTTTTACAAGCTTAGAAGCTTGTAAAGGAGAACGCATTGAGTGACCTTGGCGGTGGGTAATTGCGACGGGGCGGTGTAATCATTGGGATGATGGGGGAAGATAACTTGTGGTGGGTTTCGTGAGGACCTCAAGATTTGTCACATTGTTTATCGAGTTATGGTTGAGTAGTTTGTGGTGTCATAATCAGGCATGACTTCGGCCTGGGTGGGTTTGAAGATTTATGAACAGGAAGGTTCTGTGGTAGACCTCATGAATTACGTCACACCCTCTACTTAGTCATTATAGGACAACATGGTTATGATAGGGCAACCGTAGTAAACAGCTGCTCTCTACTTGTGCATCCAAATTCACCCTTCAAGTTCATGGATTAACACTTCATCAAGGGGCACTGATTGACCTCGAAGGTAGATAATTGCGATGAAGCCGGAGGTCGCTTTCTGAGGAACGAAGTCAAGGTGTTGATCGAGGTTTAAAGGAGATGTTTGAAAAAAGTCAAATTTGGGCGACTTAAACGTCTCATGTTCTGACCAAATAAATTTTGTTGATTGTTCATATTGACTATCAGGTATGCAATGTATGTGGATTTGTATAACGTCATGGGATTAGAAGGGTCTCCCTCTCTCCAAGCACTCATTTAGAGAACAATACGATATTCAGAGAAAATCATGACAGACAAATCCTGGAAAACAGCGGGTTTCACATTTCAATTCTGTTTCTAACTTTGAAATTCATATATCAACATTTATTTAAAACGGATTGAGTGACCTGAGTGTAAAGTTTGATCATCACGACCATGAACAAAGATAAATTTAAGTCAGGGTACGATTACCTTCAAATTTGGCTTTCAGCACAATTCGGATTATTTGTCGTACTTTAGGTGAATAATTCTTGTTCCTTCATCTAGTGCATAATCAGACATGTCTTTCTGCATATCTTCCAAGCAATCATCACACATAAACCATGATTATAATGAAGCAATTATTGTCAACACCTGTTTTTAGATTCTCCTCCAGTCTCCACTCTAGAAATTCATGTATCAACTCTCTGGTTCCAGCAATTTAACCAGAATATGTAATTTCATTCACACTGATAATTAATTACATTGCTTTCACCGGAATTAGCTTTTGGTAGCTAGATGAGAAGGTGGAATCCTCGAAGCTACCCAGCCTGGAGATTTAATTTAAGCACCAACATGACTTGCTCAACTCACCAGAAAGGAGAATGAAGATAGAATAAGAGAAAGAGAAACGAGGAAGGGTGGAGTAATCGGTGAAGTGCGAGAGTGGGGTAGGAGTACAAAAAAAGGGGCGGTAGAAGTCGGATTGTTGGGAGGACCTTTTGGTGACAGGGTTGAGGAGTTGAGAAATTAAATGCCAACTTCTTAAGAGGAAATAATTTCTATTCTTTTATTTCCACTTTGATCTGAGGACCATTTAAGACGAGTGAAGCCACTGAGACTAGTTCGATTCTTTCTCCAATTGAATCACGTAATTGAGTGTTGCAGTTCAATTATACCTTCAATTTGAAACCTTCTGTTTTTCCAGAAAATTGAGTTGCGTTGGTTTGAACTACTTTAAAATCCCGGTGAGTGAGTAAAATTGTGACAACGTAAAACGGTATTATTCAATTTAGCGGTACGTTGTTATCCACGTAACGAAATTTACCCAAACCACTGGTAAGAATAATAGAGAGGTAAGGAAATTCCATTTATTCTCCCCCTTTTTAGCACGGCGAAACCAAACGCTATATCCCGAGGGACTTTGCCATTGTCACGTCATGGCTGCACTTGGGTGGTGGTTTAACAATAAATTCGATCAGAGGAAGGAAGTTGAAGTGACTCGATCGAACCCACTTCCTCTGCGCCACCACCAATGCTTTCAGTCTCCGTAATTTCTTGAAATAACGTACGATCTATTTTTCCTCTCAAACATATGTCGAGTCACGTATTGCGCGTTTTGAGAGGTGCCCCAATATGGATTTGACGGAAAATCCGGAAAGCATGAGAATTATAAAAATGTGGTGTGCAGTAGAACAAAGAGTGTCTGAAAATAATGAACTTTTTAGTGCCTCAAATTGAGACATGGGAATGTCTTAGTTAATGAACGTCTTCGTTTAAGACGTCTTGAAGACTGGTTTTTGACATTTGATATTTTTTACATATAAACATATCAAACAAATGAAACAGTTCCCTTCCCCTACGTGACCATCAAAATAGAAGGCAGCCAGAAATTTGGCTACTCCTCTATTGCTATCTCCCCCGAGATATTTAACGGCCCTCGATTACCACCCGAGGTCATAAACTCGGAATTAATTGCTCCTGAAATAGACGATGCACTTTCACCTTTGACATTAAAACACGAACAAGATATTCATCAAGTGTAAAAAACAAGCTTAAGGTTACATCTCTGCTCTTTTATTAACAATCATTTATTCCCAAAGTGTACCACAATTCACATACACAAGTGCATCAGCCCTCATCCAAACAATAAAACCAATCTTACAAAAATATATTCACGATCAGGTGTTTTAATTGTACCAATAGTGCAGTTGCAATTGTCGAATCTCTGTATTCCCGTGTTTTATATCCAGAAAATACACTTGAAGCGGAATCGGTGGAACATCGAGAGATAGGCAAAGCTTGGAGCAGTTGCGTGAAGTACCCTCGATACATTGCATCATCCGACATGAGCTTCGATCGGGGCTTGGATTACACACTGACGATGCTATTGTATCAAAAAACCAGTTAAGCCGATCCAACATTGAACATCGCAAGCAAAGTGTTAAACTTGTGCCATGACTGAATGGTTGTGGGGAGATCAGTGAAGCCCATTAGCAAGTAAGTCCATCTTCGAACATCACGGTGATTACACACAAAGCATCTGTGAACATGTTTTGTTCATATAATTGTGCATTCCATAATACGAAGCGAGTGAACAGAATGGGTGACTCGGGATTACCAGACCTAGCCGTGCATTTCCTCTTATCGATCACCAACTTGAGTCATATCTCAGGTAGATCGAGAAGGTTGTAACGCTCAGCTGGCCTAAAAACCCGAGTCCCTCGGCAATAAAGACAGTGAGATAAATCCCATCAATTCTTTATTTCCGTTCATTAATTCGAGTCACGGAGTGATTGAGTGCACACGTGCCTCGATACGAACAAATGAGCTTGTTGTTTAACTTAATGACTTACTTTCGCGTCTTGACGCGACGATAGCGCCGATAATCGCCGCTGCCGGTGGTGTCACTAGGATCAAAGCCACGTCTGTGCTTTGGTGGCGATGACATTGTCGTCTTAGCACTGTCGTTCGTGTCAACTTTAGACGTCTTGTACTCCTGATAATTGTTGTTGATAGTGTCAAGTGTCAAACTGCTGATACTCCCAGTTATGCTGTGCGGTATGTTCAGATAAATGTGTTGGAGAGTGACTGTATCGTTCGGCTGATGATTTGATTGGTAACAACGACAGGCACCAGCGGGTTGTTCGCCGATAACGAGGAGATGATCCCCGTGACCGACGTTGTGTGGCACCCCGTTCAGCTTGTGCCTCGTTGCCCGCTCGGTGCCCGGCCCACCCATTCAACTCGATGATTACAAAACGCTGTCGCCGTCTCTCCAATAACTGAAGTAGAAAATTTTTCAACCCTCGTTATCACAGCACATCTGCAACCTACGACTCTCCAACCTTCCATCATACGGACGGATTGTTTAAGGGTGACACTGACACCGGTTTATCGGAGACGATCGAGGGGGAAAGCCAGAGGGCGTTGTGCATTCACGGTTGTCTAACCTAAATCCGGCGGACTGCTGCACTCAACGATTACAATAACCCTAGCTCTCCATCACTCTGGCAACTTTCGTCGGGACATTTAGCGCGATTGAGCGGAGTTTACGGTTCGAATGAGTTTAATGGACGGTCTTGATTACACTTGCTGAGTTAGGATTCTGATTTTCGATGGTATTTAGGTTTTCTCGGCTGATGGATTGACGAGGCTTCCCGAGATGATCGACAACGTGGCGATCGGGACGCCCATGCTGACCACCAACAACGCCATTCAACCCCCCTTTCCGGTATGCAACCTGACCGCGCATTTCGCCGAAGTCGATTCCCATCCCCCCCGGTGGCGCGAAACAGGATATTGCGGCTTGCCGGTGCAGCTGCCAGGGGGCGACACCTACTTTGCCGAGCTCTCAGTGGATTTTTCACAGTGCAATGTGTGCGCGTGCGGGGGGTGAAAAGTAAAAACATCTCTGATGAAACGAGTCTGCTTGGCGGCACGCTAACCCCAATGAGATTTCCATCGCTGATTATAGCAGGAGCTTTTAATTTTCGATGTGCTGACCGACTGGTGATATCGGAGCTCTAGATCGCGGGGGGAGGGGGGGACTAGTGCAAATGTATGTTTGGCTTCGATCTGCATATCCGTGCTTATATTTGCATGGAATAATTTGTGAGAAAAGTGGGGAAATTGTTTTTCGTAAATATGGAGGAAAGTTGGAAAGTGAATGTTTCAAGTTTTTTAAAAGCTTCAAATTGGTGATTACTGTTATTCAGTGATGGTGCGTATCGTTTCACGGTATCTGCAGCTCCCTGCAAAGTCCAGGATCTCCACCGCGTGAGATAACAGTAACTCCTCACTGCAAACACCGACCGTGATTGCCACCCCGCAAGCTCCCTGCAGCGATGATACCCCGAGGATTTCCCGGTGAATCCTACAGATGTCGTTTCACACCGACTGTGGATGCACCCCACGTTAGGTTGGCTCGGTATCGCACGGATCTCAAATCTCCTCACAGATTCAATAATCTCGCGTTATCGATGAACATCAAATGGTGGGTGGGGCGAGGTGGGGAGATATTTTGCTGTCCTGAAGTGAGTGGTAACACGGCGTCGGAATGACTGACTGCAGCACAAACTGCATCAGCCGAGTTATGGGTGAAAAGAAGTGAGGGCTCAGGGTGGGTCGGCTCTCCTTTCCCTCTCTCTATCGGTCACTGGGTTTCGCCATGTTTAAATCCCCCTCGTTTCCCTCTAACCAACAATTTTCTCCCCCTGGTTTCTTTTCACCCTCCCACACTCCTCTCACCGCCTCTTGCCCACCATGTGAGTCCCTCTTTTCGCGTGCATTCGAGTCGTGAATGCACCGGCTTTTTCTCTTCCGTGTGCTGACAATATTTTTACTACAGTCACGCCAACACTGGGGCATAACCACTTGGTGTGTTTGTACCATAACCCCTTGCTCGGAATAGCCAAGTGGTTAGGGTATGCCACTGGGCGGACCACAGAGGGAGGATTGGGAACAAACAGCCGATGGGTGGGTGTCAGTGACCCGACCCTCGGCACGGTGCTCCACTGTGTTTGTCTACTTCTCTCGTGTCGGCGCATCAAGTATTGATGGGATTTATGGTGTGGGGCGACTTTATCGGGAGGCGTATGTCGAGAAGAACACCGAGAATTTCGGGAATATGGCTCGGTAACACCCACAGACACGTTGGATAGAATTTTTGATTCAGTTATTGGTAATCTTTGTCGAATGACGGTTCCACGGAAATTTCTGAGAAATTTCATCTTTGGAAATCTATAATTTGATGAAAAAATCAAAGCGAAATGTCAATTATTTCAAGGAAGTTGATAAAAATTTGGAAAAGTCAGGTGGCTATTGTGTAATTTGGCGCTAAATACTCATGTTTTGATTAAAAATTCAAGCAAAATTGTGTACTTCTCTTCAATTTTTTATGGAATTTGAAATTTTATTATTTTTTTCCCCTAAATCCAATTCAATTGTGCTCCCCTGAAAATTGATACTAAACTCTAAGTTTCAATTATTATCTGACATTGTGGGACACATTTATCGATTAGAACTACTAATTTCAAATTTTTCCTTTCACTGTAACAATATTTTCGTTGAAAATTATCAAACTCATTCATGCGTTTAATGAAAATATTCAAATTGTGTTAATCATTCTAGAAATGCAACATTAGAACCAAATAAACGGTTTATTTAATCCAAGCAAGCGATTATTACACGATAATAAAGACGTTCTTTTGGATGTCTAAAAAATAATTCCATTTCTAACCAATCAAGTCTCTAAAAAAATCTCTTTATTTAATGTGAATAAAAACGCAAAGAAAAATCAAGTTTAAGTTCACAAAACTGAAAAATTGTCAATCCAAAACCATTTAAACATTCATTGATATGAATTGTTCCGAATGATTAATGAATCTGCACTAAAAAAATGGACTGAATAATCCTTTCCAAAACGGAACATAATCATTTCGTCAATTTCCCTCCGATCAATTTTCCTTCCCTTTCATTCTATAAACAAAATCACTGCAAAATGTTCAGTAACCTAGGGTCCACGTAAGCTTTGATGTTGAACGAAAAACCCCAAGACGAACCTCAACGAGAAAAAAAAACTCTCAAAGTACTTAGATATCCTTAACTTCCACCCGTGACAGGTGAAATCGATTTTCCGATTTACTCCGTCAACTGCACTGTACTCAGAATATCGCAGCATGATATTCATGACGAGAATGCTTTTTATAAATATGTACATTGTTAACTCATTGTTATGGAGCGTATGGGGACTCAGTTATGCACACGCATGCTCCTCGGGAGGATAATGTAGAGGGGTGTAAGTTGGGAACCAGGAAGCGTGCGTCACGAATCACCTGCAGGCAACGTTTGAACTCGTGACCCAGGTCAGCAACGTCAACGATGGCTGCCCTGGTTTCGAGCGACTGTACGTCAATTACTAATAAGTCGAAGAGTCAAGTCAATATTTTTCGACGCCCTCATTTGCGCTTCGAGAAGGGGTTTATAGACAGGTTGCATATGCACATCAATCATTGGATAGGTTTAATCTAGAATTTTTTTCGGGTTCGGGGGAGGCGACGACTGGAGCAGATGCCTGAGAAGGGTTTTTATACGTTAGAGGGACTGAAGAATTTATGGCTCCGGTTCAATTGCGAGAGATCTTATTCATTTTATGATCGCCACTGTAAGAAATAGTGTCTTCAAGACGTTTTAGTTTAAGGCTTTATCGAACAGGCGATACTTCCGAGCTAAGAATTAAGCTCACTCAGGGAAATTTACGACAGTTTACAGTGTTCGAGCAATATCTCGGAATCTAAGGGAGATGGCAAAATTTTTGTTATGACCTTTTTTGTGGAGCCGATTGAGTGCTACAATAAATGTAATTACGAAAATTTCGCTATCTCCCTTAGATTTGGAAATATTTCTCAAAAACTCGACTGGGAGATGAGTCGACTTAAACCCTTTTACCACTTCGCTACTGATCCATTATTAATCTAGAAGGAATTGAAAGATTGTTTCTAGGTTTTGTGATTAACAGCTCGGTTTAATTCAAAATTTATATCATTTTCAATAGGATTTATCATTTGACTTTGGTTTGATATTGTTATTATTCTTCAGTTGTTGTAAATATAATTTGAGGCATTATTGGATGAATAGAACGAGGATATTTATCATTTTAAGTTTGGATTTCCAGTGAAAACTAGCACGATAAATTGATTTAGTAAACAAATACTAAAGGGATATTTTTGTTATTCTTCCCTTCTTCTGAAAAGAATTCTCTTTATCATTCGATGGTAACCCCAGCACCGAGTCGATACAATATTCCACCAGACCAGAAGGTACCCTAGGTCTAGCTACAACACCAGATGCTCTTGAAGCACCGTTAGATACACCCCCGACGATTCGCAAGCCCCAGCGTTCCCCTACAATCCACCAGATGGCGAGCGCCTCTCGCCCACCCCTCAACAAGCGCCCCGAGATCTTTATTAAAAACCCCACGATACATTGGTCGACTCTGGCAACCGACACATCTCAATCCCGAACCTAATGTGCGTGTCAGAGTCTGGCAGATTTGACTCGCCAAACCATCAATTCCCTTGACCACCCAAAGTCTATTTCCGTGTTCGAAGAAATACGATACGAATCCAAATTCAAATTCCAAAGTCGTTACATCGCGTAACATCGACCAGCAGACAGAACAGTATTTGTACAAGAATGCCACATTACCTGTTTCATACCTTCGGGTGTTAATCGCTGTGCTCCTGCTGGCCCCAACGAACGCACTTCTCATACCCGCATGCATCGTTGAATTATAATCAGTCAAAACCCGTCAATGACACCTCCCTCAATCAACATCCTGGTTAACCACAAAAGTGTTAATTGCCACAACTGAACTCTCACTTCCACACCATCGTAATTCCACCGAAATCCCCACTACGTGTGATATACTCTCCTCATTGACCATGATACCACAAACCGTGGTATGAATTCTATTTCAACACCGGCATTGTCATCCATCCGAGCAACGAGCATCATTTTTCTCCGGCACAATTTTCCGAAAACCATTGATCCATCAAATACAACTCCTGACGAGAATGAAAAACCACATCTACCAATTTTTCCGGCAAAACTTTCGTTTCGCTGTTTTCAACTGACAGAGCAATCGATTCACCGGAATTGCCGTATACATCAGTTCAATTAGAGCCACTGTGAGGCACCCGGGGGGGAAGACAGTTGGGCTATTGATTTTCGAGAAATTGTATCGACATCACAGAACGAGGAACAATAAACTCGATAATACCCAGGT